GAATTAGAATAAATGCTCTATTAAAAAGAAAAACATAGGTGAGCAATGAGCATGCTTAAAAAAATCATCCTTTATAAATAGCTTATCACTTTGATGCTTTCTAATCTTATAATGACTTTGTTTGGTCCATTGCTGATTGTCAGTTGCCCTTAGTTTTGCTGTTAAATATTCTAATTCAGTAAGCTTTTAGGTCATAAACACATTTTTTAGAAAAAAAATTCAATCCATCCCTATTCATGTCTATTATATAAGTTAAATATTTATTAATTTTTAAATAATATTAAATTTTTTAGAATAGTATGCGTAGCATAAGTTCAGAAGAGGAATTTGCAGTGAATGACAAATGGCAATCAGTATTTGGTGTGGTCACTAGTAAAGAATTACGATTGTATGAAGTTGCTCCATGGAGTCCAGATGCTTGGTCTGCTCCACTCTTTGTTTGTTCACTTTTATCTACAAGGCTGATGAACTCATCTCGTAATTCAGATTTAATCACATTTAGCTTAAGATGTGGAACAGAAGAAGGTATCATTACTCACCGGTTTAAAGTTGATACTCAAAGAGATCTTGCCTGTTGGGCAAGAGCTATAATTCAAGGTTGCCATAATTCTGTGGCTATCAGAAGAGAAGTAAATTGTCGTAAGTACTTAATATCCAATGTTTTTTGTTAATATAGTAAAAGAAATTTGTTTACTAACTCACATCTAAGTTAAAATATGTATTACATATATTACTATTTTTAATATAGCTACTATTTATTTACATATTATTCTAAACAGGTTGTTTATGGCATGGAAAGCCAGCACAATTATCAATTCACTATGAGAATGGATTTACGCTTATTGAATCAAAAACTGGATCTGTAGGCCGTGAACCAAAGAAGTTATGGAGTTATCCTTTTGATAAATTAAAAATGTCTTCTGATGATAATAACAGATTACTTTGGCTGGACTTTGGTGATAGCGTAGATATAGTAAGTATTAGTTGATGATGAGATAGATTATATAGTTGAAGGTGTTAGATTTGTATTTGAAATAAGTAATACTAGAACTGTTAACAGAACAACAATAATCTGTATTTATTAATAAAAATAATTAAAATTTACTTATAAGTTATGGAAATGTTATGTATGAGATCTATTWGTGATTGGTATAGCAGCGGCTGGCATTTTTGGCCAAAACTGTTTGATAGTGCGCAGCTATCTAACATGTTGATAAGAAAAAAGTTTCTGTCTTCATTTCACTTTTCTTAAATTTTAAAACTTCAAATTAGTAAATAAGTTTGACATCATTTTTAAAATTTGATAATAGTAATTATTCTTTTATAAAGTAACAAATATTTATCTAACACAAATAGTTCTCAATAATATAAGACGTAATTAATGAAATATATAGTCATAAGAATTGAATTTTGTAGCTATCTGTTAAAATTCAAAATAATCATTAAAGTAAAAGTATAAGTTAGGCATGGRTTTATATTGATATTTTAAAATATAAAATAAATCTACAGAGTACTAATTATTTATTTATCTATCCCAGTTTATTGTAATATAATTATCGAACTAATATTAAAATTATTTRTTTTAGGAAATAGACTTGGAGTGTAGTCCAAAACCATTAGTGTTCATACTACATAACTTCCTATCAGCTAAAATTCATCGGCTTGGTTTGTATGCATAATTGAAAATATGCTTTTAATTA